TTTGAAGGCAGCCTGGTAATGAAGGAGAAATGAGACACAGATTAGCCATGACTCTGTGTTCAGAAGGACAATTAGGAGCCTGAGGGAGGGCAAAAGTGTCTGTGGGTAAGCAGGGACACTGGCCCAAGGTGTCCTACAAGGGGCTCTGCAAAGTCTGTTGATGCCATCACAGATCACAGCAGCACCAGGTAGTCCTCCTCTCACCCTCCCTTCTCTTCTCTTCTGCTGGTGGGAAGAGGAAGAGAATATTACTGGTGAATGTTCTTCCTTTGACATGTCAGGGGCTTGGCAGTCAGAATACTGTTAGGGGAGGATGTGCTGGAAACAAGGATGCTCTGGACACAAGGATGAACTGGACATGATGGGGCAGTTGTGCTGAAAACCCCAGAGGCAGGTGACAACTGACATGTGGTGAAAACAACTGCAGCAAAGTTACTAATGAGACCTTGCATCAAATTCAACCCCAGTCCATCACACTCCAGCTTGCGGGTAGTTGCAGTCTAGTCTGGGAGGCAAGGGCTGAGTTCAATAGGAAAAAAATTATCCTCTCAGACATAGGGTCACCAAAATAAGGGACCTCCCACTGGGATGAAGATAAAGAACAGGAGTTATTTGCTGGTGGTTTCTGACAAGTGGCTGAAAAAGGGCAAATGAGGATTTTCCCTTTGCAAGAGAGAGTAAGTGTCTGGCCCCTGTGAACAGGCATCCTTCCTCTCTTTTGGAATGTCTGTCCTTTCTCCCTCTAAACCCACCCATATCTTTTCTGATGTATTTGTAGTTGTTTTGCTCAAAGGCACCTCAGCTGGGAGGTGCAAATGGGGGTACACCAACATGCTCAAAAAAGCAGGGATTAGCAGTGAGGTTTCTCCATATTTACATTGCTCACACTGCTTGCAATTGTATGGCATGCTTTGAAATCTCCAGGGGATATAACTCTGGGCTTGTCATTCCCCAATGAGACTGTTTCTCAATTAAAAAGCAATTTCATTTTCTTAAGAGGTGGGAAAAACAGCTCTAAGAACTAGTATTAGCAGAGCCACACAGGTGGATTACGGGTATAAATTGAATGTAATTGAATGTTCTGTATGGAGGAAACTTTTGATGTGTGGTTTTGTTTGCATACTGGGCAAGGGCGGTATATAAATATATATATACATATGTCTGTATCTTAGGTGTGGTACAGGTAGTTAACTGTTTAAGTGATAACAGAATGTGATTATTCCCGCTTTTTTGATTTTCAGGCCTTATCACTCTATTTCCGTTCTGGACCTGAAGCCTGGAAATACGCTAAAGACTGATTCTTAGCCAGTAAGCTGTCAAACAACTGTAGTTCAGCAAAACTTAGTGTCATGCCTGGATGACTCTGTCCCAGAGCTAAACTCCACTCTGTAGAAACAGCATGGCAGAAAACAGCATATTGAACCACACAAAGGTATGAATCAATGAAGTCATTAGCTAAGTGACCTTATGGATAGGGGAGACAAAGCAGAAGCCCTGTGCAATGGATGCTCAAGAGTTTTCTTTAAGAGCAGGCTATGCTGTAATGACTGGTAATGCAGAGAGCAGCAACAAATTAAGGAGGCTCTTTACAGTAAGCCCCCTGTAATTGAATTTCCAGGAAAAAAAGAAACTTTTCTCTCTCTTTGTGACAAGTCTTGTGGGATCTCTCACACTGGCAGTGTTAGGAGCCTGATTCAGGGAAGGTAGACCTGTTGCTATCACCATCGGTGCAGGTCTCCTTTCTCCTCTCGCCCTGGGCAAGGTTGTCCCCTGCCCTTGCCTCTCACTTGGCTCAGGGCAGGCACAGGCTGAGCCTTCCTTAGGGAACAGGCAGAAAAAGACCAATGGCAAGTTTCCAGAGAGGCCCTGGCACTACAAAGCTGTAGGTAAGACTTTATCATCAAGCTGTAAACTGCCCCCCATAGCACCTCTTGGCTGGCTAATATCTTGCATAATAAATGGAGTGAGCACACAAGATTTACTGATTTGAACATCTCTGTCCCTATTATGAATTCACCAAGTGGAGAGAGCTAGGCACAAGTCTCCACAAGGCAAAGTAAATAAAATAAAATGAAAATCTAATTTTCTTTAGATTCCTACAAGCTTTTAGGAGGACAAGAGGATTGCAACAGGTATTTGTTTTCCCATAGATTTCCAGTCATACTTCTGTTGCCTCATATCACCTCTACATACTCAGTGCCTGTTTATTTCTTCTCTATTCCATAAAAAGGGGAAAATAAACTGGGGTGAGTCCAATTACTGAAACTTAATTAAAACAATTTAAAAAGTACTTAATCAATTTTCTAACAAGTGATCTTTTTGGTAACAGCTGTACACGAGCAATTTATTAGTTAGTGAAGCCAACCCTGTTTTTTAATATAAACAGACTAATTAATCAATGGTTAACTCTTGTAATGACCAGCTCTGGCACTTAATTATTGCTGCTGTCATGGAGCATAATAGCTCATTTCCCAGGGTTATTATGCAAATTGCCAACATTGACCACTCTGTGTGAAGTTTAAAGCACTTTTCGTGATTATCTTTCATTTCCACATTCTCAGGACATTTTGGAGCACACACAATTTTCCTGGTGTGAAAAGTTTTGTGCAGTTTTTCAGCTCAGTAGCAAATTTCTGGGAACTCTGGAGTGAAACATGCTAGTTCTTCCAGGTTTTATTGCTGGAATGGAAAGGAAGAAATAAAAATGCTTATTTCCCACACTGGAACCTGCTCTATGCACATCTCTTTGTGGAGGACTGTGGAAGCGAAGAACGAAGATCTCCAACAGAAGTTGGAGGAATTTATTTTAGTATTTAACTCATTTTGGGGGTGAGGTCCTGCGCACTCAGTGAAGTAAGCCTGTGGAGGATAGCCGAGAGTTCTCCACAGATCAGCCAAAGGCAGAAGTCTACATGCAGGCAGATGGGAAAAAAAGCTTAATGTGAGACTAGCAGGAGAAGGCAAGAAACCTCCTGGAGTGCCCAGAGCTCAAAAACAGTGGACTAAGAGCTGCTTGTGGTTAAATGAAAGGGAAAACAGAATACCACAGACATGACCTAGTCCTGACCTTGGCCTTTCGAAGGTTTTGGGACAATAACGAAGATGAAAGTAATGCACTGAATAATAGCACCTAAAAGGAGGCACGGGCATTGAGTTAGACATAAAAGTCTCTGAGGTGAATATGCATACCTGGAATGTGTATCCATGGACGTGGCAAGTACACATGGACAGGTGGGTGGATAGATGTGTGTGTACAGCCAGCCTGTAAATAACCTCCCTACCCCTCCTCCTGCTCACCCCATGGCAGTTGGCCCTCCAGTACTGAGCCAGTGTAAATGGTGCAGGCACAGGGACCTTCTGCTTCCCCATTGTGTCCCAGCCCTGTGTACTTTGCAGAGCTAAAGATTTTTTTAACAGATCTAATAAACCTGAAATGTCTGGCAACAGATGCCAAATTTTATAATCTTACTGTAGTTGGCAATAAAGAGGTTCTCACAAAGCCAGAAGGAAGGGAAGCAGAGAGAGCAGAGGGGCTGTTAGAAAAGAGGCGAGTGTGAAGCAGTTGCAGGCAGCAGTCAGTAGGGCAGTAAAAGCTAATAAAACCTTGATGTACAAACCACACTAATCAAAGAACAAACAGGTCTCTCATTCTTATCCCCCATTTCCTTGGTCTTCACACTGCAGCTGGTGGGAATAGCATGGTTGTTTTTGTAGATAAACAGATCCCAAGTAAGCTATACCTGATCATCTCTGTCGACCCACCAGTGTGCAACAGCCCTTCAAAATCCCTAAAATGAAGCCATGAACTTCCATGCATTTTCACCCTGCCAGCTCTCCCTAGCCTTGTGGTATAGAAAAAAAGCTCAGGGATGGCCTTGAAGATCTGAGTCAGCACGAGGGAAGAGAGGGAGGGAGGAGAGGGAGGGAGGGAGGGAGGGTGGAAGGAAGGAAGGAAGGAAGGGAGGGCCTTTTTCCAGTGCCCATTTCTGGGCTGTTAGACTGTTCGTGTTAACCTCAGGAACGCAAGGGGAGAACTGGTGGGAAGGAGTTGCTGCAATGGACCTGGAGACTAGACGTGAATCTGAATTTCTGCTTGCTATAACCATCCCTGACTAATTCTTAGGATGAGGGCACCCAGCCCTCTCTCCCCATCTGCAGCCTGCTGTAAGGTTAGCCCACACGCAGGGAAAAGTGAGACTGTTTCCGTAGAGGCAGCATTGCATAGGATTGTCTCAGTCATGACTATGATTGGATCAGTTTTAAGAAATCCAGAACTGTTCCACAACTGGCAAAGGCAGAATATGCCCTGACCATTATTCTTGGCAATGAAGCAGTTTCTTAGTGGCTCAGCATCCAGAGCAGGGGTTAATCCAGCTTCCTCTTAATTCAAACACCAAACCCAGAAGAGAAGAGCAGCTCTGCTGGCTGGAGGTACATTGTGGAGGCAGTGGTTTTTGTCCTGACTGCTCAGATCGCAGTAGGGTAACTATGACCTGACAGCTCGGGCATTTACTTGCCAGTGCTGCAAGCTCACGTGGGCTGTAAACAGCCTGCAAACATGCCAGTTAGAGCTCTCCTGGCTGGGGAAGAACTGAAGGCCAGACCTTTTGTCAGAGCCTGTGTCTACCCTCATGCTGTCACGAGAGATGACAGGAGGGATTTTGCTGGCATCAGTGGCTTTCAGGAGGTGTAAAAGCAGCCTCATTCTGCAAGGGCAGAAACAGGTTCCTGCAGCGATGGGTCAGACACCTGAATGTTGCATCTCCCTAACACCAGGAAGCATCTGAGATGTGTGGCCTGTGTGCCACTGTGACTGGAAAGCGGACAGGGTAGGACAGCAGGAGGTGTGCTTGACTGGCTGAACATTGCCCTACATGTATATTTCTCAGTTATCTCAACGGTTTTATGACTCAGAAGTTTATTTTCATGGGTGGGGAAAAAGGAAACTATTGCATTATTTCTTGTTTTTGTACCACAGCATGCCTCCAGAAGCACAGAGGTTCTTACAGCTCTTCATACCGACAAAGCAGAGATTAGTTTGGTCCAAACCATCACATTTTTAACCAAGCCTCAGGGGGTACCCCTCCCTCAGGGGCTGGAAGAAACGAGTGGTTTGGTAACTGATATTCACATCTCCCATCAGAAAGTGCATGGAATTAGGGCAGCCATATATTTCCTCCAATTTGGCATTGAACTGGAGGCACAGAACAAGCATAATTTCCACGCTAGATTGGAGATGTAATAGGAAAGCCATCTAACAGGTGAAAAATGAAGTGGCCCCTGACACGGACAGTTACTCCTTCCTCCCTGTCAAAGCCTTACCCGCTGCTCCCTGAAGTCTCTGTGTGATATAAACTGTGCTCATTCTGCAAGCTCACTGCAGGCCAAGCAGCTGTTAATAGCACTTGAGTGTGCTTCTGTAACCATCTGCAGGCGTTCAGCTCCTACACAGGGTATCTCCACGCTGCTGCTGGAAGACAGCATTGAAGTACGTGTTGTGATACCCAGACTGCTTGTAGTCCAGGGTGGGATGCAAAATCTGATGCTGCAGAAGCACAGGCTTCATTGTGGGCTGTCCAAGCTTGCTGGCAATCTGGGTACCTCCCTGTGCTTTCACAGCTGACCATGACCAGCTCGGCTGTGTCTGTACATATCACGGCTTCGCCTCCTGACAGTGGGATGCGCGTTCCTGAGACAGCAAGTGCTTGGAGGGGGATCATCTTTTTGATTCATGGTGATGGCCCAGGTTGCTAACAGGCCCTTTGGAGTTTGGTGAGGAGGGAGCATGCCTGCCCACTGCTGATGAAGTGGGTCCTGTTTGCAGCATGAGCTCTGCAGGTGGAGGTGTGGGCAGCACGGGGATGGCATGTGTGTTTATGGGATGGGGAGGCATATGGGTAACAAGCACAGGTTGCCAGAACTTGGTAGTAAAAGCCTTGTTTGATAAGTGCATTGTGTGTGTTACGTGTTCCTAAAGAACAGCCACTTCTTTGCTTTTACTGTGCCTTCGCTCTGTGGTCCAGCATCACAGGCATGACTTGATGGCTTTCTGGTCCTGGAGAAGCCCTCCTCTTTCTACAGTGGAGCATGCTCAGATGTGCCTCATCAACACCAGGGATGTCTTTCCATGGTCCTAAAATCATTTAGATGGCTTTCATTAGCAAAAGAGGATATGTTTTGAAAGAGATGTTTTCCTTTAACAGATGTTCCTCTTTGTGGTTATCATACCTTATTACTCCAGTCTTGTTTTGGCAGTATTTAAATAAAACTCAAGTGAGTTTCCCTGCTCTTGTTTACCTTCCTAGTATGCTATACTTCCTCCCATGAATATTGACCAGTGTTAAGTGAATGAAGTCTTCTTTTTAAATATCTGATATCTTCAGTTTTTGGTATTTCAATTACATTAGCCCCTAGCTCACTCTACTATCTACTGTATAAACAAGGGGCTATGAAATTTGTTAATTTTCAAAACAAAATGCATCCTTAGACCTAGACCTGGGTGACTGATGAGCAACATAATGCCATAACTGTGGCTTGACTAGACCTTAGCATTTAAAATAAATGAATCTGCTTTAAGTGATGCTAACACAGTTTTTCTGCCTACTCCTCAGTTAACACGACATGGTGGGGCTTGATTAAAGGAAAGGGATTTCAAAATCACATTCCTATACATGGTCACCAGACTGAATTTGAACTGTTCAAATATGCCTGTCTGCTTTGCCTTCATGCTAATCAATCACAGAGGGGAACTGGCACATCACCCATTAGCTAACCAATTAGGCAGCACAGCTCATAAGGTCCAAGTCAAATATTGGGCAAGATAGCTGTCCATCACATTTCAAAAATAGATTTAGGAGTTAATGGTCTGTCCCCAGACATGTTATGAGCAAAAAAATAGCCTAAGTGTATGAATCAGTTATTTACTGTGAACAATTCTCCCATTTTTTCTCATTCAAAGACAAGATAGTTAAACACGTGCCGTTATCCTCACTTTCCTAGATCTTAAGGCCAAGGGGTAATTAAGATCAGCTCGGTTGATCTGCAGCTTAATACAGGCTAAAAATTCTCTTCTGATTATTTCTGCACGGAGACCACAATTTTTGCTTGGGCAACAGCACATCTTTTAAAAAGACAGCTAATTATGATTTGAAAATATCATGTGTTGCAGAATCCAATACATTCCTTTAAACTGTTTGGATAATTAACCTGGTTGCTAACATTTCTGTCTTGTTTCTAATCTTTCAGCTTTCAACCATGGCATCTTATTACGCCTTTACACCACCAGATTACAGACTCATCTGCCATCAGAAATCCCTTTCATAATGGTTTGTAAGTCAGAATCAAGTCATCTTTTGTTTTCTCTTAAATGAGCTAGAAACACTAAGCTTTGTTAATCTTTTACTATACAGCTAGGTTGCCCCGTCTTGAATTATTCTTCCAGCTTTCACCTGAACCTTTTCTTGTTTTAGCTTTTATGAGGCAGATAAAAAATTTCCTTAGAATTGCCAAAACTCATAGCTGGCAGTTCCCTGCCTGGGGACCACATCCAGCCTCACAGAGCTGTAAGTTAGGCATTAACTCAGAAAGAAGGGTGCATCGGGCACAGAGCTGAAACTTGCCTCGCTCTGGAGTGCAACGATGGTGGCTTGAGTGTCTCTATTGCATTCAAAGAAGCTAAAATCCAAGTCAGTAACATAGAAAAACTTTGTCATTTAAAAACCCAGTTTCATGATGTCAAAAACTTTTAAAAGCCAAATCATCCTGGAAAAAGAGTTTAAAATGCAATACATCACAGTAGTTCTGTTTCCCTGTAGCTCTAAAGGGGTAAAGAAAAGGTAAAAAAGTTCAGAGCTGGACAAGAGGCGTGATCACAGATATAGTGAAAATACTTTCATTCAAGGAGTGATTAAACAGACTAGACTTTGTCAGCTTGGAAAAGAGTTGATTGAGGAGGGAAGGTGACAGAATGCAACTGAAAATGATGCAGAAAAGGTGAATGGCAATGACTGAGTGCAATGATGAGGAGACATCGAATGAAAAGACAGAGTGAACAAAAAGAGGTGCTTCTTTATCTGTCCTCTAATAAACTCGAATATTTCCTGTCATGTGGGCTGTGTGGCTGCTAAAAGTCTATGCATATTCCAGAAGCAACTGGGTAAAGGAAGGGATGAAAGATCCAGTAAAGGTCCCCAGTGCCAGCTCAGACTGCTCTGGGGAACACATAGGGCCCAAAATAGTTGAAAGAGAGGTACACGGAGGCACTGGCTGTGTTTGAGCTGCTTGGTTGTTTGTACTCCAGGCAAGATGGCCACTGCTGGAGGGTCACTTTGGAAGGCCTTTGATCGCACTCTTTCCTGCTGTTCTCATGGTCTTAAAATGGGAAGTGTAATTGGGAATTTTAAACAGTTGCTTATTGCATACCCCAAAGCCACACAGCTGCTCAAGTGAAAGAAAAAAAGTTGCACTGGTAAAAAGAACCAGGCTGGCTTGAAATAGGTAAATGTAGCTGAATACAAATGCACACACACTCTGAGGAAAAAGAGATAGTAAAGAATATAAATTAGAAGGGTGGAAAACTATAAAACCTCTTAATGAAGCTACAGGATACAGGGACAAAACCTAAGGCAAGAGGGTGAATGATAGAAAAAAAAAGGTTTTGGTATGTCTTGTAATACAAAAAAATCCTAACAATGATACTAGTCTGTAAAAACATGTTTTTAATGTAGAAATGTCAAATAGTTTCGATATATCTTGTTGTTCCAAGCCGGTTTTTGAAAAGTCTGCATGAAGAATTCACAGAGGGTGAAGGCGAAATCTGTTCCCTTCCAACAGTAACTTGGCAATATGCAGAGCAAGAGCTAATAAGCCGCCTGTTTTTAACCAGTAGGTCTGTCTGCAGCAAGAGCTTTAAAGAGATGGATGAGGAGATGTGTGGGCTGTTAGAGTTGGTAAATCAGAGGAATGATACAAAGACTTGTCTGGAGAAAAAGCTGATACAGATATTGGTAATTATAGGCATATCAGCTTGACACAGACAGTGAACATGAACAAAATAGTGTGATTTCATTAACAACAAGACAAAAAGAAAACTACATTTAACAGTAATCAGTTTAGGCTTAAGGGAGACAAATCATTCAATAACCAGCATGGTACCATTTCTATTTGTTTGATGACACAGGTGTTGGGGTAATGTATTCATAATTCTCTAAGTATTTGTTATGGTATTTAATTTTTTATTTAGAATTCTTCAAAAAAACCCAGGACATATTAAATGAGAATAAAAATATGGTAACATACTGGGTCCAAAATCTGCTGTTAAGTAGAGGCCCATCTTCAGTAGGAAATTTCGCTTTCTTAAGCTGTACTGTTTAACCCCTGGCAGTATGAATGACCTAAAAGCAAATCTATAAGTATTGTCGAAGGCTGGGGAGTGAGGATAATGAACAAGACACGTCACTGAGCTGATTTACTTCTTAAAATGGAAACCTGCAAATACTGTGTGCTTCAGTGCAGAGAAAAGTGAAGTGACTCTTGTAGGGAGAAGATGAATAAATTGTAATTACAAAAAGGGGGATGCTGCCTTGGGTAACAGCAACCCTAGAGAGGACTTGGCCAAGAACAGAAATCTGATCCTGGAGGGCTCCTCACCCTACAGGCTTAACAAGATCCAACAGTTTGGAGCTGAAGCTACAAAGCTCCATTTTGGGTTAAGATTCCCCCTTTTTAACATCAGGAGTTCCTAGCCATCTAACTGCTTCCTAAGGTTTCTAGCCGATGCTTTGTCACCATGAAAGCACATAAAGCTCTTTTGTGTAGGAGGTCATACCAGAAAAGTGATTTTCACCTTTTTCAGTAAATGGACTTCTAAAAATTTCCATATGCCTACTGCTCTTTGTGTGCACTTCTAAAGACCTCCTAAGTAGCCATGGACACCTCAGGAGACCAAATTGGCTCACTGGTCCCTTCTGCATATCTAACCAACACATTTCCAAGTCAGTCTACGAAATGGGCATAATATTACTGTAATAGTTTCACTGGATTTATACAAATGGTTCCTCCATCTCCTTGGTATTTCCTCATGTCTCCTCCACAGCTATACTGTTGCATGGGATGCTCAGCTGCATGATCAGCTGATAAGCCTCATCGTTTTTCAGTATCCTGCGATCCAGCTTTTACACGTCACCATTTCTTTGTTCCTACAGACATGCTCTGGCTCCTACATTATCAACCACCCAGACTGGTACGTACAAATGAGTCGCCTCCCTCATCACTTCATACTCCCTTATTTTTAGGTTCAGCTAAAACATTGCCATTGATGATTTTAATAATTTAATTCAGATAACAGTCTTAAATGCAGCTAGCTTGCAAACTGATAGTAAGCAGAGATCTTTATTGCCAACCTAATTCCTAACCACCTACAAAGACTCTTTGACTTTGATGGGAGCAGGATTAAGATTTGATCAGGGAAGTTATATTGGGATTAGGATTGCAATTTTGCATTTATCGTGTTTTTCCTGCTTGGACTGCTAAACAACATTTCTGTCTCAGTTATTTCTATAATAGCAATAAGGGACAAGGCCAGGATTCAATTAAGTTGAAGAATGAAAGGCAGAAGAAATGTTCTTCAGTGGTGCAGAATTGTTTCTTTCTGCAGAAGCACACAAAGTGCCTGTTTGTTGTGTGTGCAATTGCCAAGATGAGAAGTTATAGACAATATTGATTTGGGCTCCCAGCTCTTTGGAAGCAGGCACTGGGTATAAGCCAAGAAGGCTGAAGTCTAAATGCAAAGTCAGTCAGGCTCAATGGGCCATTCTTTGAGAGAGGGGACCCTTCTTTTCAGATTTTGCACCTGTGTGTGTTGCGTGTGTGTGCATACGGAGCTAACAGGAGGCAGCATTGTCCAGAGACCACAGCAGGGAAACCAAGGGAAGGACACACCACGCTAGTTCGTGGTTCCAAACTCTCTTGCTGGGTTAGAAGGCAGTCCATGTGAACTCTTCCCTAGTCTAAATTTAAGCGCTGTGAAACGTGGGTAACAGGATGCATGACATGTTGAGAGGGGTTGGAGGGGTCTAAATGAAAGCTGAAAAGTAAACAAGTAGTAAACTTCATTATGAAATTTCATAAATCCTTTTCCTGAATTTTGGTGGATATTAGCTTTTCATATCACCTCTCGACTGTGTAAATCACTAACTGAGACCTTTTTTCACCAACCGTGAGACAACTTAATACAAATTGATTTGATTTTTATTTTTTTCAGGCAAACCTTGCAAGAGTCTGCAATAATTACTCGATGGTGACTTCACACAGGTAAGAAGAAATACAGCTTCACCAACCCCCCTGGGCAGAGTGTTTGGACTGGATGTGCAGGTGAAGTCTTCATAATTACTGATTTCTACCATTTGAAATGTTTTCTGCCATGTTCTCCTCCTGATGAGGGGAGCTTGATGACAGAATTGGCATTTCTCTAGCACAAAACTGGTTGGAAAATGTGATCTTGAATTCTCTTTTTCTCTTTTATAAACAATACGATTTATATAATAATACTTACATGGCTTATGACTCTGTCTTGTTTTTATGGCCTGTAAATGTGGGAAACGTGTGCCAAAGGGCAAAAGCACTCCCAGAAATCAATATAATACAAACAGCCTTGCACATCCAGCCTGCAAGAAAAATGTGATGGTTGACAAATTCTTTGCTCCCCGCAGTACTCTGGGTTCTTGGCTAACCTCAAACACGCATCAGTTAAAGCTCTATGTGAATGGCAGGATTTTGCTCACATCGGCATTGTTTGACCTCTCCATTTCTGCTGTATATCTGTGTCACCTCCTGATTGCTCTCTCTGTAAAACAATCCTCCTTAAATTATTTAGATACATATTCCACCTTTCCCTTGGCTGCTGTTCTAATTCTGGTGAGTGAAATGACCTCAATTAGAAATTCTTGCTTAACCATACAATATCATTGAGAGGGTTGTCTTGTCCCTTCTTGCTTTTCTTCAAGCCCCATTTTGTATGTTGTTTTCTTGTCTGCAACTCATTAGCTCCTGTCATTACTTTTCCTTAAAACAAAACTAACTAGAAGATAATTATTCAGTTTGCAAAAAGGAATTAAAAAATGCCATAATTAAGGTTACAGTTTTCCTTTTCATATCCTTGAGGGGATACTGTGTTCCCTAATTATATAATCATACAAAACCAGGCCCCATACACACATATGTGGATGTTTTATATCAACGGGGGGTTTTTTTAAGTATTTCATTAGAAATACTTCCAATTTATGACAGCAAAAGTAAGATTGGTATTATAGCTGCTAATTTGTAACTCAGAGCCTTTTATTGTTGCTCATGTTACTGTACTAATTAAGATGTACAGCATTAAATGTCTCTCAACCACATTGTTTTAGTATCACTTTCAAATATGTTTTGCACATTATTCTTATGTCAAAATCAGCAATAATGTGGCTCCAAAAGTAGTTGTTTTCTGACAGAGAGAGGACTTCAGCTGTACCAATTCTTTCAAAGAAAACTGTGTTTCATCCTAGCATCCATTTACCTTCAAGGATTTTTATTCCCTGACAAACAGTCTGGAACTTGCACTGAAATTTAGTTCTGTGGCCCACCAAAAATTTTATCACACTCGTATTTTTTTAATTCAACCATTTTAAACTTCTGGTGCTTCCTCATTCATTCTGCATTTTCCATGAGAAAATCAGGACTGACAGCATTGAACTCTGACTTCTGCACGAGCCAATGGCTACTTTCAGGTCAGACTTTTCAAGGTCACCCCTGGCTCTTACATCCATGTGATCTGAAGCTTATTGAAAACAGGCTTCAGTTTTTTACCACGCCTTTCCAAAAGGAAGTTATTTTGTGAAGAAAACCTACATCTGTCTGACATGATTTGCCTTTCAAAAACCTCTCCTGACTCATGATTAATAAATAATTCTCTCAGAATGTACAGTTTATGGTCCAACTGTTTGATCCCTAATCTCCAATATTAACTGTGGATTAACTCATACTTGCCTGGCATTTTGTATCTGTATCCTACACGTGAGGCTCTTTTGCATTCTCTCATTAATATCAGTAATCTCTGGTTCAGACTCAGTACTCACACATGTCCTCCACAGGTTTGTTAATATATTTTCTAAATTAACTGAAAGGCAAGGAAAACGTTTAGTTTCTTTGTTTCTTTTTCCCCAAGAGCTCTATTTATTGGCCCATTATTTTTCTGTAGTTTTCATTCCTCCACTATGTTGATGACATTTCCTTTCTATAAATATTTATACACTTTTCTCCTGGTTTCATTTTTCTCCTTTTGCTTGTCATGTCCTAATGTTACTCGTGTTTCTTCCTATAAACTCATAAGGTTGCTGTGGTGTTATTTTTTTCTCTACCCACAGTTAGACCATCATTTCTTTACTGGAATACTGGAGGTATGGCCAAATTCCACCCTGATAGCATTTGTTGGATTTGGCAGAAAAAAACCAAACAAGCCACATCCGGCAGTGGGTTCATATGCAAAATCAATCTTATATTTACTTCAAATATTTATTAATGTCAAAAGACACTTTACCTCTTTCTCCTGCCTTTTTCTGCTCCTTCTGCCTATATATTTTTTCCTGCTTATATGGCCACATGTTGCACCCTGGACAGTGTTATGGGGCAGTGTCGCTGACATCTGATTCCAGTCATCCTCTTGCTCCTAACACCAAACACCTCTGGCATTCCTGTTGAAGGTTGCTAGATGAGCATGAAGAACTATTGTCTTCCTCTTGAGGTACTGGGTAGGAGCGGGAAAAAGACAAAGGACAGGGCACAGAGGTGTTTGGCTCTGCAAAAGCTGTGCAACGCATTTCCTGATTTTGGAAGATGTTCAGGCTACAACTTTTTTTTTTTTCTGCATCATCTGGCATCTCAATGAAAATCTTAAAAATGTAAAATTTAATGGGAAAAAGGGGTTGGCTAAGAAAAGTGGTTGAGGTAAAAACCCAGGAAAATGTAAAATATTTGAGGAAAACAGAGAAGAGCTCCACTTCGAACTCAGTCAAATGAACATGGCCTTGCTCTCTTTTGTAAAACAATTCTCTAGTTTTTCATCATTTCTAGCAAATATGCAGGAAGAGTGCTGACAGGAGAGGAGGTTTATCATAGCAAAGTATGGTCTGGGGCCAAAGTCAGGGTAGGCTTTCTCACTGACTACAACCTTAGGAAGACATTTGAGGTTCTATGAACCCAGCTACCTGCAGCCTGTTGAATATAACTATCAGAGAGGCACCTGGGGTTTTTAATATCTGTGTAAATTTATTATGCAGGTAAGTGTAGAGATACCAGACTCGGTGTCTGGGTGCACTAGTGTCCAGTATTTTGATGTGCTTACTGTCAGTCAGTTTTGACCACCTCTGTGAGAGCAGGAGAGACAAACTAGACCAGGCCAGTTACACCTACCGCCAGTTTTGGTGTATTTATCATTTTATCACTTTGACTAACAATAGCACTTTGAGACTCTCAGTGTGGACTGGAGCCCCACTGTGCTACATGCTGCGCAAGGACAAACCAAAAAGATAGTCCTTGTCCTGAATGCTTTACTTTTTCAAGATAAAAACCCATCCAGACAGCACAATGAGATAAAAGAACAATAGTCATCAGAGAAATAGCGATGCTTCAGGGTTATAGGCAAGAGATGTGGGTCTCTGCATCATTAGCCCTATGGAAGGATAATGGTCAGATCACTTTAGTCAAGTCAAAGCCAGGGAAATGGATGTAGCACCAACAGAGATGAGAAATGATGAACATGGTAAGATTCTCACTGGGAAATTGCTTCATATTCTGTAAAATAAATGATTCAGAAAGAAAAGATTGTGCAACTAGGGGCAGAGCTTGAAACCCCAAAAATAGAGGAAGGACAGAGAAGACCTCTTAGTTGAAGGGATAGGAAAGAAATGCAGCAGTTGCCCACATTGAGAGTGATGGACAGGCCAAGATAAGGGATAAGGAGGAAGGTGGAGTCTTGCAGCCTGATTTAGAACAGATCATTAATGACTTGCCTGTAAATCCCTTGTCAACTCGCGTTCCTAGTGATATCTGAACAGTAAAAATTATATCATTTCCATGTCCTCAGTTCCCATGTGTAAAGCAGAAAAGGCTATTCACAGAAAGGTAGAATAAGCAGAAATTTGCAGAGAAAGCAGTATCCCTTACTGAGAGCTGTGATTGTTCAGGAAAGAGGAAAAGGAGGGGTTGAAAGCACCTTCCTAGCTGCCCAGTGCAGGAAGAAGGGAGCTGGGAGAGCCTTGTAGAAGCCAAGAGCAGTGGCAGTAATTAAAAGAGGAAGTATGGGGACTCCAGGCATGATGCTGAGGTCGCCAAAAGCATATGGAAAAAGAAACAAGAAGAAAACACTTGAGATGCCAATAATATCATTGGCAAGGGAGTTGATGAGATCCACCAAGAGATCAAGAGCATAAGGACAAAGAGGGAGAGGAAATGGCAAAACAAAAGATAAAGAGCAGGATTGTGCTGACACATCCCTGTGTGCAGTATGTGTGGACAGCAGGCCCTGGTTCCCGTGTTGTGTCCAACAGTATTGCTTCACTGTCTTTTCCGAGGAGGCTGGACAGGGTAGATGGTGAACAAAGATGTTGCCCAAGGCCAGAAGCCATAGGCTGTTCAGTGAAAGGCTTGGTTCTGCTTTGGCCTTTTCCCTCTACACATCACTCACCTCTGCCCCAAAGCGCATACCTGAAACAAGCCATTTTCTAACCATTGTGCTTTTTTAACCTCATCCTACATTTTCTGCTGATGGCTAGGGACACAGGCCTGGTGATGTTTATATTCAGTTTGGTTCTTTTCTCTGTTTCTTCACATTTGGATTTACACCACTGCTCTGTGATGTGTGAGATGGGGAGAACCTTTACATAATATATGGCAGGGGATGTTTATTAAAAAAAGGAAGAAAACGGAGAAGTGAATGATGTGGTACAGCAACTCAATAAGTTAAAACATATTTTACCGAAAAAAAAAAGCATCAGCAGTCGTGTAGTATAATATCACACACTGAGCAAAATTCGTGGCTATGCATAAGTTAGTTCAGTGCCTTGGCAGATAAAAAGATTAATGAAATCTTCCCTTTATGCTCCCAGAAAAAACAGTTCTCGCAAACTCCCTTAAATCTCTTGTCATTGCCAAACTCCCATTTTCCTTCTCCATGAACTCAAAAGTCAGGGATGAAAAGGCATATAGAAATTTTGCCAACCTCCAGCTTCATATTTTCTGGCATCAACATTTAATTATCTCTGCAGGCATGTGGCAGG